CTCCTAAACCTAAGGGTCTTCCTCACTAATTGGTGGCGATCTTTTACGACCTGGTAGCCGTCTCTTTACACTGGGATTTATAGTTCACCTACAATCAAACAGCATTCTGAGCTCCAACTATAATGGGATTGAACCAAACTTGGCACACAGTTCTCCCATGATCAACAGAAAACACTAGAAGGGTTTGGTGGGCATTGACCTTGAGTTTGGGAGTTGAGTTCACCTACATCCACAGAGCACTGTGGACTCAAACAAGGATGGATCTGGACCAAACTTGGCACGGATATTCCATATGTCCAAATATGAAGACAGATGGAGTTTGGGGGAAGTAGACCTTGACATTTGGGAGTTGTAGTTACTGGGATTTATAGTTCACGTACAATCAATGAGCATTCTGAACCACACCAATGAGAGAATTGGGCCAAACTTCCCCCAGAGAACTCCCATGACCAACAGAAATGCTGCCTTAAGGCCATCCAGTCCAACTCCTTTCACCAGAGCAAGAAAACGTAATCAAAGCCCTCCTGACAAAGAGCCATCCAGCCATAGATATAGATAGATATAAATTATTCACACATACACACGGAGTATCCTAGATTTGAAAAGGACCTCTAAAGAAGGACAATGATATGTTGTATGTTCCAGAGTAGGCAAACCACACAATCTCTACATCAACACTGACAAAGAAACAACAAGAAATACTGTTTACCCACAAGCATAAAGAAATTACATATATTAGAAACCAACACTATCTCATTACTTTATTTCCCAGATCACCATACTAGGCCACAGCAACGCGTGATAGGAGACAGCTAGTGAAGAATAATTGCATCCACCATAAACTTACCAGTATTTCAGTGGGAAGTATAGACCTGCTTTTGGCTGATAAATCTAAAGTTTAGGGTGGGGGCTGGGTAGATGACCTTGGAAAGCTGCATCTGGCCCGTAGGCCTTAAGTTTGGGGACCCCTGCATAATAATAATAATAATAATAATAATAATAATAATAATAATAATACGTTATTTGTACCCCGCCACCAACTCCCCAATGGGGGCTCGGGGCGGTTTACATGAGGCCAAGCCCAACAACACAATACAATAAATGAAATCAAAATATAAACAGCAACATAATCAATTACATAAAACATAAACTATAAGAATACAGCAAACAATATTAAAATACAATAAAATCAGTCATAACACAGAACAGTGAGCAGGCCGCATGTACAGAATAAAATACTAAAGGTAAAAACAGGGGGTGAGATAGCAGTGGAGCGGATTATTTGTGAGGGAGAAACTCTTCTGAGATGGGGTTGAAAAGGGGATCTTCGTACAGAGGAGAAGGAGGTGTGCACTAAAGACAAATATTGAGGGTTACTGGCAATATGAGATTATATGGTTAATCACCAAAAGTGCAATGGAAGAGCCAGGTTTTGAGATTCTTCTTAAAACTTTCTAAAGTAGGGGCTCGCCTAATCTCACCGGGCAATGTATTCCATAGTCGGGGAGCCACTTTGGAAAGGCTCTCTCCCTTGTACCCACAAGGCAGGACTGAGATAATGGTAGGGGTGAAAGAAGAGCCTCCCCTGAGGATTGGAGGGATCGGGCAGGTTCATGGAGGGAGATACGGTCATGAAGGTAGGCGGGTACCAAACTGTTAAGGGCTTTGTAGGTGATGACCTGTACCTTGAATTGGGACTGAAAAATAAACGGCAGCCAATGGAGCTCCTTAAACAGGGGGGTTGATCGCTCCCTGTAATTCGCCCGTTATTAATCTGGCCACCGACTGTTGAACGAGTTGTAGTTTCCAGGACAACTTCAATGGTAGCCCCACGTAGAGCGCATTGCAATAATCTAATCTAGAGGTAACTAAGGCATGGACTTCATGAGGTATGGTCGCAGTTGGTGCACAAGTTTTAATTGTGCGAAGGCCCTCCCGGCCACTGCCAACACCTGTGCATCAAGCATCAGCACTGAGTCCAGGAGGACCTCCAAACTGCAGACCTGTGACTTCAAGGGGAGTGCGACCCTGTCCAGCACAGGTTGCCACCCAATACCCCAGTCAGGTGAGCGACTGTCCTGGAGGACCTCTGTCTTATCAGGATTAATCTTCATCTTGTTTGTCCTCAGCAGCCAGGCACTGGTCCAGTATCCGAGGGGCTTCCTTGGATTCAGGTGGAAAAGAGTAGTGGAGTTGGGTGTCATCTCCATAGAGGTGGCACTGCACTCCAAAACTCTGGATGACCTCTCCCAACAGTTTCATGTAGATGATGAATAGCATGGGGGACAGAGTAGATCCTTGTGGGACCCCACAGATTAACGGCCAGGGGTCTGAGCAGGTGCCAGCTTCATTCACTGGGAATGACCCTCTAGGAAGAACCGGATCCATAGTAAAACCGTGCCCCCGAGTCCCATCCCAGCGAGTCTTCCCAGAAGGATACCATGGTTGATGGTATCGAAAGCTGCTGAGATGTCCAATAGAATGAGCAGAGTCACACTCCCCCTGTCCAGTTCCTTGTGGAGGTCATCCACCAAGGTGACCAAAGCCATCTCGGTACTGTGCCCAGGCCTGAAGCCAGACTGCGAACAATCCAGAAAATGGGTGTCATCAAGGAATCCCTGGAGCTGCGAAGTGACCACCCGCTCCAGAACCTTGGAAGTTGCAAAGTGACTATCCTGAGAATTTCGGGGGGGAGGGGCTGAAGCCCGTCAAGCCCCCCACCCCCACCCCGGCTACATGCCTGCTACACAGAAACACAGAACCTCAACAAGTTATACCAGTATTACCTCTCTGTATCGCAGTGGCAACCCTGGCTTTCTAAGACATTCTCTGCTCAACTACATACTTACTAGAATGGCTGAACCCCACTACATCTCTTTGCATAAAAGTTTGCTCTTTATACGAGTCCAAATTGAGGTAGCATAAGATGTTAACACATGTTTAAGTCCTGGGAGCATCTGAATCTGGAAAAACAGTGACCCCGCAATCCCATGAAGGAGGCATAATGTGCACACATGCCGGTAATATCATATTATTGAGGATCATGATGCAGCATCTTATTTTTAGCAGTAGCATCTGCCAGGGTTAAGCTCTGGGTAAGCTAAGAGCTTTGTTCTTAATTTTGTTATGTACTAAAATGGTCCCCCAAAGTGTCCCATGACAGGGCTACTCATTGTTGCATATTAGTGAGGATTGTAGCTCTAGGAGTAACTGCATTGTTTAGAAACATCAATCCTTAGGCTATTTTTTCCAGAATATCTGATTACACACCATCTGCTTATTTTAAACCAGGCAGCTGTTCCTGTAGCTCAGGGAGGGATTTGTGCCTTCAAATCCAGAGGTTTCTCGTTCAGCCTTGGCAAATGCCTGAAGACCTGAGCTTTGCAGCGACACCCAGACATGAAATTAAGAAAAGCCATACCCCCATACTCTGGGGCCAGAATAAAGAAGGGGAGCCGAGGACATTGCCATCTTGTCCCCTGTGACATCAGCGCCCCTCCCCCAACACCAACGGCCACTCTGGGGCCAGAATAAAGAAGGGGAGCCAGGAGGACGTTGCCATCTTGTCCCCTGTGACATCAGCGCCCCTCCCCCAACACCAACGGCCACTCTGGGGCCAGAATTGTTTTTATACCATGTCTTGAATTTTGTTGTTCCTATGTTGTAAACCGCTGTGAGTCGCCCCTGGGCTGAGAACAGCGGTATATAAGCAAAGTAAATAAAATAAATAAATAAATAAATGAGTCTATATTTAACCTATAATCATTTCGTTGCTTTTGCAGATAAATAGAAAGTTGACCCAATGTTTCATTCCTGATTAACTTGAAGAAAATCAAACAGCAAAGGACTAGCCCACCCATCTTGTTGGTGTTTGCCTTGTTAGTGTGTTTCCAATTTATACGAGGGTTGAATGAAAAGTAATGCCTCCACATTCGTAACTTAACAGATGGCAGCACTGGTATGCGGCAGGTACTGGCTTATTCTGTAGACTCTACAGTTCCACTTTGGTGGGAAGCCTTAGAATCATAGAATCAAAGAGTTGGAAGAGACCTCATGGGCCATCCAGTCCAGCCCCCTGCCAAAAAGCAGGAATATTGCAGAAAGTTCCACTGCTGAACGGCTCTCACAGTCAGGAAGTTCTTCCTCATGTTCAGATGGAATCTCCTCTCTTGTAGTTTGAAGCCATTGTTCCGTGTCCTAGTCTCCAGAAGCAGAAAACAAGCTTGCTCCCTCCTCCCTGTGGCTTCCTCTCACATATTTATACATGGCTATCATATCTTCTCTCAGCCTTCTCTTCTTCAGGCTAAACATGCCCAACTCCTTAAGCCGCTCCTCATAGGGCTTGTTCTCCAGACCCTTGATCATTTTAGTCGCCCTCCTCTGGACACATTCCAGCTTGTCAATATCTCTCTTGAATTGTGGTGCCCAGAATTGGACACAATATTCCAGGTGTGGTCTAACCAAAGCAGAATAGAGGGGTAGCATGACTTCCTTAGATCTAGACACTATGCTCCTATTGATGCAGGCCAAAATCCCATTGGCTTTTTTGCCGCCACATCACATTGTTGGCTCATGTTTAACTTGTTGTCCACGAGGACTCCAAGATCTTTTTCACATGTACTGCTCTCAAGCCAGGCGTCCCGCATTGATGATGATGATGCTGGAATACTAGACTCTTATTGAAGCAACCTATTGATACATACAAAATAACAGTAGTAGTAGTAAACAGCAACACTGCGGCCCTGACCAGTTCGAAGGGGTTGCTGAGCTCCTGCCCTTTCCTCCTTCGCCCGGCGCCCCCTCC